GCACTTATTGTTATTTTGAATGTTTACATGTATTTTCTTTAATCATCGTAGGAATGCGTAAATTAATCGAGAACTCCTTAAGATAGTTGTGTTATTGTCTGTTCTAGTGTAGTTATAAGTATTAGCGTGATCTGACTTGGTACAGCAAATGCTGCGCTAAATCAACTATGATATGATGCATGCTAGAAATTTAATTAGTAGAAAGATATCCTGGGATCAGCTCATATATAGAATGAAAGGAAGATTGGAGCAAAAAATATATATAGGAAATCAAAAAGTAATGAGAGTGGTATCATAATTCTTTACAAAGAGCTTTGCTGAAACTTTCTTTCTATATAGCCTTGGGCGTGGGTGTGGCTTAAGAGAAGACTAACACCCGCACCCATACCCTAGTTAGATAACCAGCATATTTTCGAGCGAAAAAAACTGTATCGAAACTTTTCTATTATGATATTAGTTGAGGTATGATCAAATAGCACAGAACGATCGAACTTTTGTTCTCTATCATAATATATAGAGAGAAAGTTTCTTAAGCATTTTTATAAGAAAGTACAATGCCACTCTCATTAATTTTTGACTGACAATAGTAAATGACGATCAAGAAAATTCAATGAGAGATTATATTGACTTACTGTCGTGTCGCTGTTGAAGAGTTAAATAGATCAAGTGTTTATTCTTCTTTTTGTCAAATTCCATTATGTCGACAGTAAAAGAAACACCAGGAAATAATAGTTCTTCTTCTTCGTAAGAATATTTAGACAGTTCAGTAAGATCGACTGTAAAAGCGAGACAAATTTTCATAATAAACAAAACATTGCCAAAATTCTCAGCCACACTGGGGTTTCGTGTGCACGAAGTGAATGCTTGAAAGGAATGCCATGGTCTTGGATCTTTGGAACAATCATCTTTGAATAAGGCAATCAAATCAGCGGATAGTTTCGCACCACGATAAAGTATTGTTCCTGGCTTAGTTAATTTTCTATTGAATGGATTGTCCCATAGAAGCAAACAAAATGGACCGAGTGTGCGTATTTTACTTCGCCAGACTTGCTAGTGTTGTTCACTTCCTATCAATCGCATGATTTCGTTCGATTTTATATATAAAAAACTTTCCAAAGTATAGAGATACGCACAACACTTCCATATTTCTTTGATGTCTGCGTTCTTCTTTTGTAACAGTTGATTTGCTATCTCTTCGGCTTCGCGTTTTTTCCCGACATGTTTACCTTCTTCAATAATACCTGAAGCAGCTTTTTCTACGATCATTGGAACGACTGTTTTATCTTTTGAAGGCAATTGTTTTTTTGTAAGGTTCAAATCTTTAACAACTTCTTTAATAAAAGGTGAAATAAAACCGTATCGGCCACCAAAAGGACGATCAGGAGCGACCGGATTAGGAAGAAATCTTTCTTCTCGTAAAATTCTGTCGTCTTTATCGCATGCCATTCGTTTAACAGGTCGCTGTTTGTGAATATCGTCGTTTGAGATTTGAACACTATGCTTAAAATCAATATGGTAGCCGTCCAAAATGGCATTAGTTTCACCAGTTGTGAACGCTTTCTCAATTATTATATTTTCAACGTCTGAATAACGCCGCCATTCGATATTTTGTGACTTTGAAAATGGATTTGGACTTGCATTCCACACCCATTGAACATTAATGAAGGATTTATTGGAAACAGGTGAAGCAGAGGCCATTAATACTATCTTCTAGTCGACGTTAAGTAATGTATTCTAAATGGAAAGCATTTAAAAAAATTTCCATTTATTCATTTCAATGCAGATCTGAGCAGTGTAGCTCACCTAAAAAATGCGCGTGTGGGTGTGGCTACAGTGAAGAATTTCTGACTGTCTGGTATACTGGCACACAGGTAGTAATGGTCGGATGTAAAAATATCGAAAAGAAAAATGCTAATGAGAGTAAATTAAATACTTCGAAAGTATATTGATGCGAAAAATGGTCGAATAAGTATTCTACGGAACTTCAATAGAATGAAGGTGCTCTCCTGAGAACAATAACTTTAATGTGTAGACATAGGAAAAATATATTAAGAGATAAATTAGAAAAAAAGAATGATAAAAAGTAATTTTGTTGCGCAATTGTAAGTAATAGATCAGCAAACCACTACACTAACATGCCTCATTAAGGATTGAATACCGTAGTGCTTGAAATAATTTTCTGTACTAATAATATAAATTTTATGAGAACAATTATCCGCAATGCATTTTCAATATTTGTCAGTAGTTGTGATTTTGTTTTGCCTTGAAAGCGGCGTCATTTGCTACTGGCAACTGATTCATTTTTACAAATGAATAAATGAAAGAGGGTGTATATATGGATGAAGAGAAGAAATACCCACATCAGCCTACAGAAATTCTATACTGACAATAACTCGTGACGTTCAACAATATTCTCAATTCCTTGAAATCTTATGAATCTCATAAAACACTTGGTGCTTATCGATAAACTACAAAATATTATCTGCGATGACGAAAAACTGTTCACTCTCGGTATTTATTATGCACAAAAAGGTTATTACCAACAAAATGAAGCAGTAAGAAAATAATCCATTGGCTTGATTTCCAACCAAAATAACTCTTTTTTCAAAGCTCTACTGCTTTTTTCTGATTCATAATTTACTTTATATTTTCAAAAAGAAGAGTAAATGAAAGAGAAATATCGAATATGAGTCATCGCTATTCTTCCATTTCATGTACTAAAATGTCGAAAGATGCTCAGATTTGCTTTTAAATAAAAATAATAGTAATTTATTAGATTCGGTTGTAATAAGACAAGCACATACTCCCCAATGAAAAATATTCACTGATGTCAATCATTTTTTTCTGTGAAATAAAATCCAAATTAAAATGAATTGACAATTTTGATTATGTCATAGAATAAGCAACAACATTCCGCAATAGCGAAATTGTTACCAGCAATAATCAAAATTATTAATCGATTTACTTTAGATTTTCTTGCAGAAAAGTCCGATCTAAATAAATGAATGTTTTTCACTAGGTCAGAGTGAGTTTCAATATCGATGTGTCTATGGGCATTGGCGTGGGTATGACACGTGGTTTTGTTTCCTTCATGGGCACCCACACACTGTAGCTAATAGCTGTTTTCGATAAAATTACTGTGTTAGAGCAAGGGTGTGGGTGTGGGTGTGGGTGTTAGTCTTTTCTTAAACGATACCCACACCCAAATAAATAAATAATTAATTAATTTCTCTGTAACGGTCTGTGGGGGGGGGGGGGGAAATTAACACAGATTATA